TATATATATATATTAATATGATTAATAACAAACAATATATAATAAAGATTTTAGGGTTTTACAAGGTTACAAATGAAGTAATGAACCTGAATTATGGAAAATCTTCGCTTCATAATCATCTTCAACAAAACAGCAATTACCAAAACCTATAGATTTTAGGGTTTTACAAAGAACAAAATCAACAAATAAGTTTTAGGTAAAGAATTAAAAGTTAAAAACCAATAAATACCTTGAGATTGCTCAACATTTTCACAGTTGCTGGATTAAAATACAGCTGCATTGTGAACTTAAGATAATTATTGATAGCATAGAGAAGGGCAGGAATGGCAAGAAGCACATTGTTGCGAGCTGCCTGTAGAAAGAATGAAGGTAAAAATGTGAAATGACTAAACTACCCTCATGGGAAAATGTATGGAAAAGTTGATTTGATTGATTAATTGATTGATTACCTGTACAAAATTGGAGACTGAAAGAAGTGGCTTCTCTCCAACCTTCTGATTTCTAGCCTGTAAAAACAATATTTCTTCAATTTGTGAAATCATGTGTAGATTGTAATAGCAAAAAAGTGAAAAACTAAACCTAAAGCACAATGATTTGTTTACCTGTATTAAAAGCATAACAAGTGCAAAGATAACTTTTGCAACTTCTGTCAAAAAATTCACACTAATGGGGCTAAAATTGAACTTCCCATCCACCTTACACATGTACACCAAAATCGGCTGTGAAAAGAAAAGGAAGAATGTAAGCTAATGAGCAACTTGAAGTTGAACAGCTTCAATGGAATGAATATGCATGGTATGATTGGAAGAGAAGAAATGAAGAAGGAAGAAGGAAGAAGGAAGAAGGAAGAATCACCTGTAATCCAACTAACATACAGTCACCAACTACCAAGAGAACATTAAGAGCTCGATGCTTCTTTGATAGTTTACTCTGATGTCTATCATAAGCCCTTGAGATCGATTTTGTAGATGGATTTACCAATTTGGAATGGCAAAAGCTGCACTCGATTGTCCCGTTTTTCATCATCTGAAACCGAACTCTATCTAAACCCTAAGCCACGAAATTAAAGCATTGATTAACCAGTTACCGATTTAAATATCTCAATCAATGACCTGATACACTAACCTCGAATGTCCGATGTATTTATATGACTATCAAATGTGCAAAAACGCTTTTCTGCGCTCTCAAAACAATGCCATGAACACACGATCCATTAGCTCAGAACTTGCAACTCGAATCTCATGAAGTCATGATTCAGTTAATTTGTAGTTGAAAAGGATATATAGAAAGCATCAAAATTGACATCTACCTTAATTATAAAATTCCGGGAAGCGAAAGCATTGTTAGATCTGACGATCGGGCGTCCGGTCACGGCCACCACGATTCAACTTCCGCCGGCGGCTGAATCAATTACTCAAGCTAGCAAAACAAACTGAAAGTCTGATCAAAGGTGGAGAGAATCGAATTACTTCATTTCTTGGTTAAACAGTTGATGAAAGAACATGGGGTTTATTTTTTTGGTTTATAATTTCCCTCCCCCTCCAAAATGCAAACACCTGTTATGACGTTACTTTAAATTTACATCAACGAGTTGAGAAGAAGATCGCGTGAAATTGAAATTGAAATTGAAAGATCACCGACGACGATAATTGTGGGCTATTTTACTCGTTTACATTCAAATCAAGTCTTTGTATTTGGTTTTTAGTTTGAATTTCACAAGTAAAATTTTGAACATCTACTAAAAATGAAGTGTCAACAAGTTATACCTTAAACTACAGATTTTTAGTTGATATTTTATAGGAAATAACGATGAGGTAGGAACACAGAGTAGTCTATAGATGAATGCAACAAGGTCTGTTTGTTCTGCATCTTTTTGGTAGGTAGCTAGTTCTTTGTCATTGTGTATGAAGTATTGAACACGTGTAAATTTTGTGACACATAATACAAAAATGGTAATGTAATAAGGAAAACTACAATAAAGTCTTTATATACAGCTTCATAATCGATTTAATTCCTATATATTTTTTTTATTTAATTAAGTCCCAAATACCGGTAGTCGTATTCAATTTAACCCTTTGACCCGGTCAACAGGTCATCCAACTTTCAAAAATTACATTTTTGGCCCAGATTTCAAATTTTATTACAAATTCAGTCCAAAATTTACACTTTTGACCCAGATTTTAAATTTTATTACAAATTTGGTGCAAACTTTACTCTTTTTGCCCAAATTTTAGAATTTTATTATGAATTCATTCTAAATTTAGTTTTTTTTACAACTATTTTTCTTAAATAATTGTTTTTAATATGTTTTTTCTTTATAAAATCATATTTATACAAAAAAAAACGTATTTTCACATAAAAATCTTATATTTTCTATATAAAAAGTTTTTTGTATATGAAATACCTAGTTATAAAAATAGGTATTTATTAAGTATATAAATATACACAAATCCGTTTTTATAAAAAAATGTATAAAAAAACGTATTTTACAAAAAAAAAATGTATACAAACACGTATTATACAAAAACGGATTTATATACATTTTTTTTGTAAAATACGTTTTTGTATACATTTTTTTATAAAAACGGATTTGTATAAAATCATATTTACACAAAAAAAACGTATTTGCACATAAAAATCTTATATTTTCTATATAAAAAGTTTTTTGTATATGAAATATCTAGTTGTAAAAAGAGGTATTTATTAAGTATATTAATATATACAAATCCGTTTTGATAAAAAAATGTATATAAAAACGTATTTTACAAAAAAATATATACAAACACGTATTATATAAAAACGGATTTGTATACATTTTTTATGTAAAATACGTTATTGTATACATTTTTTATAAAAATGGATTTGTATATATTTATATACTTAATAAATACATATTTTTATAACTAGATATTTCATATACAAAAAGGTTTTTAAAAAAACGTTTTTATATAGAAAATATAAGATTTTTATGTGAAAATATGTTTTTTTTTATAAATATGATTTTATAAAGAAAAAACATATTAGAAACAATTTTTTGAGAAAGAAATTTGTAAAAAATCTAAAGTTAGGATGAATTCATAATAAAATTCTAAAATTTGGGCAAAAGGGTAAAGTTTGGACCAAATTTGTAACAAAATTTAAAATTTGGGCCAAAAGTGTAAATTATGGACCGAATTTGTAATAAAATTTGAAATCTGGGCCAAAAATGTAATTTTTGAAAGTTTGATGACCTGTTGACCGGGTCAAAGGGTTAAATTGAATACGATTACCGGTATTTGGGACTTAATTGAATAAAAAAAATATTATAACTAAATCGATTATGAGGCCAATATGTAGGAACTTTATTGCAGTTTTCCCATATAATAATATTAATTTAGAGCTAGATGGTTTGAGTTTCAAAAATTAAAAGTTGTTTATATCTTTTTTTAGTTGTCATCTCTTACATATATCTTACTTTTATATAAGATCATGACATGTAATTCTCTGTCTTAATCTCGTTGTTTTATTTTGACATTCGGTTTTATCTAATGAATAAAATAATTTGTAGGAAGAAATTATATTTTGACATTCGGTTTTATCTAATGAATAAAAGGACATATAGGAAGAAATTATAAGAGGATATTTGATTTCTATATGAGTTTTGATGCTTTAACAATGTTAATTTAGAACCGGGTGTTGAGTTTTGGAGTTTTGAACACATATGTAGGGGTGTTATTTGGTTTTTAATCGTGACCTTATTTAATATTATATGGCATTAGGTCATCCGTTATACTCACCACTAACCACTTTAGTGGTGAGTGCCAACTCATCATCACATTCAACCACTAAAATGTCGGGATACCTACCACTACATCCCTCTTATTTTTTGATTATTGAAATAAAAAGTATTCATCTTTTAATTAATGAAAATGTAGAGAGAGATAGAAAGAGAAAAAAGCTCATTGGGGGTGGTGGTTCATCCTCCCCACCACAATTGACCACAGTTTTTTCCACCACTAGCCACAACTAAAGATATAGGGTGGTGTTCACAATAGTTGTGTGTGGCCACATAGACCACAGATGTGTTCATTGTAAGCATATCAGTAGGTCTTAGCAAAATAAATACCACAAGTAATTAAATGTCAAGTCAGTTAGGATACAGTTGATCATTTTATTTTTTAAAGTGGTTTAATTGACACCAATTTTTCAATTTTAATGACCTACTATGCAAAAAAAAAATGTTTCAATGATCAATTCATGACAAAACACATAGTTCATCATTCTACGGTTTCATTTTTTCTTTTTACATTTATCGTTTCATATAGAGAAAAATATATAAATGGTTATTGTAATTTAAAATACGTCATACATCCCGTCCTTAACTTTTTTTTTCTTGATGAGAATGGTCCTCGTGATTTCAATTTTTTATATGGTTGGTCGTTAACCTATGTAAAATGACTTTGACACCCTTTGTGTTATCTTTTATCCTTTTTTTACTTAATTACAATTTAAATTAGTATTAAATTTGAAAGTTCCAACATACCCACCTCTCTTTCTTTAGTGGTCCAACATCACATCACAATTTCCAACCATCTTAAACCATTACAAAGATAGACGGAATATGACTTTGTATTATATGAGAATTAAAGAAGTGCATGCTATATAAATTGAAAATTTTTAATTTCTCAAAGTTTTGTTTATTTTTCCCTACTGACACTCATAAATAGGGATGAGCATCGGAAGCGACCCGGCCGGAACCGGCCCGGGAACCGAACTTGGTGGAAAATAGGAACCGAAGCGGACTGCCGGTTCCCGATTCCAAAAATCCACAAGAATATCGTCACGGTCCCGACCTGATCGGTTCTATCCAGTTCCAGTTTCAGTTTCGGTTCCGGTTCCGGTACCGGTTCCGGCCGGTTCCCCGGTCCAAATGCTCATCCTTAGTCATAAAATAATCTTTGGTCAAAACAATTTGCAAAGTAATATAAAAAAAATAAAAAGTTTTAGTTTCTCAAAGCTTCATTGGTTCTCTTTTACACTCTGGTCCATAGTTTAATTAAACGAGATGTAACACTTCAATCCAGGTAGTTACCCTTTATACACTTGAAATGAAATTTTATTGCATATTGGTCCCTTCCGTATGATGGGCGTACTTATGAGTACGCTTAGCGTACTAAGGTGGAATGATCGCGAAGGTGAGCCACGTATGCTGGGCGTATAAGTTGGTATGCGGGGCATACGTGGCAGATAATCAAAACCCTAATTCTCGGACTTGTGACCTATTTAAGCAACCTTTCACCCTTTGGACCAAACCCTAATCAGCCTCCATAGCCTCATTTCGTCCCTTTACCTCAGATTTCCTTGAAAGTGTGATTCTTGAGCTTAGAAAGTGTGTTGGTGGCCATTTTAGAGTGTATTAAAAAAAGGAGAATGCGATGATCAAGTCTTAGGTGGCATTAAGCTTATAGATCTTGCATCAAGTTCATCTTAAGGAACTTCTGGAGGTATAAAGTCATAACCTTGTCATCTCTTTTGTTAGTTTGAGCTTTGTTCCATGGAGTCCCTTTTTTGGTTCTTAGACTTTCTCTTATGAGTTGAGCAACTCCATAGACTAAGATGGTTAGATCTGAGCTTTGTGAACATGCTAGATGCATAAAGGTGCCAACTTGAAGGTTGTCTAGATTCCATGCATGAGTTTGAGGTCTTATTGTTGGGTTTTGAGCATTCTAACACTCTTATGGTGTACATGCAACCCTGAATACCTTGGATCTATGTTTTCTCTATTATACATGCAAATATCAATTTTCCAAGGTATTATCCTAACTAG